TCTTAATTTTTCAATCGGACTAAAAGACAACTACTCCTGATTTCAAATATTGCTGTAAACAAATGAAATAATACTCTAACGGCAGAAGACAAGAGACTCGGTAAAGGAATGTTTATCTGGAATTTGGTATCTCTACATTGCGAAATTACATACACCTTATCTCCAAATTGTCTTTTGTACAGATCATTCATGTTGTGCTACTTCTGCCCCCTTAGTACTATGTTTCTTTGTCTTCTTTTCGTGCCTCCCATGTTTTACCGAAACGCTGGTTCATTTGCTCTCTTTGACGTCAAATCTATCTCTCCACTATTTGATATTTTTACACCAATGAACGTCTCTTTATATACTACTGATAAATCTTATCAGTAGCACACGCCACATGGCAATTTATGCTATAAAAACTGGGATATAAGATCGATTTCAACATTGTCATAACTCTAGGAAATAGCTTTCATAAAGAAAGGCTGACTCTGGAAATCTACACATTTTAACCACACTGAATACAATAAATCCAAGAGAAAGGATAGACTTATCACCAATATAAATGTCAGTGAAAAGCTTGTGCATTGCGGAATAGATCAAATTAATAATAATAATAATAATTCAGTAGTTTACCTACAATAAGTTTGTATATTTTGCTAATATTTCGAGCAAGATTACTGCAGGTGATCACACCAACTGTTGGAAGTGCTTTTTAATTGACACATTTATAATTTGTAGTCATATATATAGTCCTGTATGGCGGACTCTAATGAAGCAAAACAAATAAAAATTCATTCAGTCCTATATTGTGACCTCTGGAAAATATTATCATGTTTTTTCAAGTATTGGTTTTTGTAGGGATTGTGTTTGATTGATTGGAGGATTTCATCATGAGCTGATATCAGTCAGAGAAACATTGGAAAACCTAAGAGTACTGGACAGCTGTTCCCTTCAAGCCTGGGACTATTCACCAGTACGCAACCACCAACAAGGTTCGAACACAGGAGCTTCTGGTAACAAGGCGTCTTACCTCTTAGAACATTAAGCCACTGAGACCCGATCCAACGGCCAATGCATTAATTCCAACGTCTACCAATTCGTGACATAGCGTAACCACCTCGCAATGTCTTCTTCGATGAGCTACTGCCTCACCTTCAACATACTGTATCCTACTGGTCACGGCTTCCCACTAGAAACCCAGTTAACTGCCTGAATAGAGCCATTCGTTAGTGAGCATCAGATGAAGACATTGCGAAGTGGTTGCGCCATGTCATTAATTGGCAGAAGTTAGAATTCATGGGCTGAGCCATTGGATCGGGTCCCAGTGGCTTTATGATGGCCTTGTAACCAGAAGGTCCTGTGTTCGAACCTTGTTGGTAGTTGCGTACTGGTGAATAGTCCCAGGCTGATGTCATGATGAAATCCTCCAACCAATTATCGTGTTATTCAAGTATGAATTGACATGTTTTCAATACACCAAACAACATACACACACATACAGACAAAGATGCACCTATGACGATTTGACATTAGTCATTACAAACATGTGATGACTGTTTACATTTTTCTGTCGATATATATATCTACCGACATGTGAGCATCAAAGTAATTCACTTTAATTTACGTAATTTCTGACTACTTTATTTTGAGTAATTCCGCTGAAGAAGCTGTTTTGAATTTTTTTTTTCAAACACTCTAGGATTAATATAAGTAATTTTATAATGATTCACTCTAATATGGAGCTCACATTATTCCAAGAAATTCGTAACATCTATGGTCTAGATATTTATAATTTTACAAGCAGCATAGATGAAAAAATGTTAAAGCCAGGATCTGAAAAGCAAGACAGACTATCGTTACTCTGAAATCAGTGAGGAAATCTACCATACTTAACACAAAGAACAAATTCAGATTTTTAACACTATCGTCAAGTCGCTGCTTTTATGTATTTCATGGAACTAGTGCAAGTGTCATTAAAAGACGTCGGTGGCACAGTGATTAGGACTCTCGCCGATCATGCTCATGGTTCGAGGTTTGATCCCCCGCCGACGCACACCTGATATCTATGGTCGGCCTGCTAAATTTGGGCTACCGATATCACACGCTGAAAATTTCATACTTGTACCAAAATACTGTGTGGAATCAAGTTATAATAAAATTTTAAAAAATAAAAATAAAAAATAATTGACTTGAAACTTTAATCAGCAGCTATCCCTTTCACCCCATACTGAATATAAGACGGTCAGCTGAAAACGATTAGGATCAAGAAGCTCTGGAAATGAACCAAAAAAGAATCCACATATCGGCGAATATGCTGAAAAAATAGTGATGGATCGGACACACGATGAGAAGACCATTGAGCGATATCGCGCAACAGGTCGTCAAATGGAATTTGGATGGGAGACGACGAGTTTGGCGTAGTTCCGAGAACGGCATCGAGCAGGTCTACAGGGGATGCGACGAGATGTTATGGGCAAGTGTAAAGTCAGCAGAAGAGGGCTGAAGAGAAAAGAATGAAGTTAAGCCGTGTGTCCTACTCGGAATCTAAGGGACTCATAATAAATATTTTGAGAAGAGTGACGATGAACTAGATGGGTACAGCAATTAAGTATCGTCAAATAAAGTTGCCTTTTCCGGGATTAAGGTGGACAGAGATACTGTCAAATTAATCTTAGTCGAATCCCGGTGGATGCGTACTGATGAAGAGTCCCAAACTAGGACGAAACAGCTGTCCAGTACTCCCAGGTTTTCCAATGGTTCTCTAACTAATGTCAGCTCATGATGAAAATCCTGTAACCAACCAAATCCCTACAAACCAACACTTGAATATCAATGAGACGCTCACTAGCGTCCTATTCAGGTAGGTAGTTACCTGGGGTTCTAGTGAGACGTCGTGACCATTAGGGTGCAGCAGGTCGGGTGTGAGGAGAAATACTCGCCGAAGATATTGGCTAGGGGTGGCGCTATGTCGTGAATTGGCAGAAGTTAGAATTCATGGACAGGCCATTGGATCGGGTCCCAGTGGCTTAATGATATACGAGCTCGCCTTGTAACCAGAAGGTCCTGGGTTCGAATCCTGGTGGATGCGTACTGCTGAAGAGTCCCAAACTAGGATGAAACGGTTGTCGAGTACTCCCAGGTTTTCCAATGATTCCTTAACTGATGTTAGCCCATGATGAAATCCTGAAACATTAATCTTTATTCTAATCTTCCTGATGGGAAACATTATTTTATCACTTTGGAACAATCACAGATGCCTGAAGGCTATTACTATGATGCCGTGAACCTAGGTTTCACTAGCCATACTTATCTGACATTTCAAAGGAACTGGTGACTCTTCTGTCATACACACTTAGATGTTCGAGGCTGCTATTGATCTCTTGTAGGACTGTCATGGAGCAGAGGTTATTCACTTGCGAGTAACTGGTAATACGTGTTCTAGTGAAAAGTGAATTCTCCCAGTCAAGTTTACTAGTGAATACTTTTGGTGAATGACTGGACTACTTACATATGTAATCAGTAGAATGGATATTCTAGTGAAATTTCTTAAGACACACACTCCACTGTTCCATATCAAACCAGAAGTCAGTGAAGAAAATCCAGTCAACAATAAGGTGAATCAAAGAAAACTGTGGGTTTATCACTCCGAAGGACTCTTAAATTGACCACCATTCACCCGTCTAGGAATAATATCAGTATACACTGCAGCGGGATAATTGCATTAACAATCTGCTTACTAAATTGATTCTTAACTGAGTATTTCAAACAATTTCGCAATTACTATTCTTCTCACCTGATCTTTATACTATCGTTCTAATACTTGTGTACTTTGTTTTAACTTAATCTTGGTTATCTACCCTTCCTTTAGATCCATGCCCATTTTTAATGCATCAATTTGATGTTGTGTGACAGGGAACTGTTGACAGCAAAGAATAGATTACAATTGCGATTTCGCATGAATGAATTCACCGTTACGACGTGTAGCGAATGGTTAGCAGTGAACTACCTTCGGAAAACGTATTGTTCTGTTTGACTCTTGCACAAAAATTTTAGATTCCGGAAAATACGAAACATTGAGCGCGAAGCAAGCAATACCACCAAGTGAAAAACATCACCAAAGCTAATGAAACTTAAAAAAATTAAAACCACACATTCACCTCGGAATGCAAGGAATTAGAGAAAACATTGTGTGACTTTGTTACAACTAATCAACACCATCATCTATTTCATCACACTACTTTGTATTCAAATTCAAATAACCACATTTGTCACACAAATACCATTTACTTCACTATTTATTTACTTTTTGAGGGGAAAGAAACCAATCGCAACCACTCACCAAATTCCTAACTACATCGAGAACACTCAACACGATTTCCTCAGCTTCTCCACTGTCAAAAGATGACGCCTCGAATGGCTTGGATGACCGAAATTCAGACAGCAGGGAATTTGTCAAACTGCACTTTGTCTATCAGTATCAGTATCTTCACTAAGGAAATGCTTTCAGATTATACGAACGAATAAATCTGTCTGTGCGCTTCTTTTCTGATATACTCAGCTACTAGTAATTTACACGTTCACAGTGTAGCATCTCTACTATCCGAAGACAATGTTAGATTCCTAAAGGAAAATTCAACTGACTGACCAGAGATAATTAAATGATTTACAAGATTATTTGATGCTTCTCTCAAACACCATACATATTTATTCGATGAAATATTCGCCGGAGAGTACCCTCCTACGATCTGCCTCTCGCAAAGTAGTGGTAGATTGACTGCTTACGTGCACTACCGTTTGTCCCTAAGTTGAACGATATTCAGTAATATGTTTCAATATGAGATGTGCTGATTATGAACACATTGAAAAAAATTATTATTACTTAAAACCATTCGGAGATGAAAACGCATGACTGTCAATAGACTATTGATGAGAGGTGTCTTGGATTTACTTGTGAGACAGATTTTACGGGAAGACACGATAATTGGTTGCATTCTCTGTTATTCAAGCAAAAGATAACTCATTCAACAATTTGTTTATATTCTGTGCAAAGTATCAAAAAATTTATATTCAAAGATTAATTCGGTTAGGGGGACAATGATGATTTTGATTATGGTACATCAACATGTGTGCATGTAAATAAAAAATAAAAAAAACAACATCTTCATATCTCATCTGAATCATCAAATACAAAATGCAGACTACACGATTTCTGAGATAAATAGTCTGACAGTGAGACACACATGGAGAGCATCCATGAACACATCAGCCGACTGGCATGTGTTAACAACCACAACGGCCAACCATCCAGTAGTGGACAGTGTCCACAAACTAGACTGGCTGGTGATAAACAAGAGGTGGCCATACTCTCCATAGGCAAAACGAATAAGCGTCTCGAATATCCCAGACACGAATGATATAACTCAACACGTGAAGCATAAGCGATCCAGTTCGAGATCCAGCACATTGTTGTAAGCAGACCAGCTCCAGGAAGAATCAGGTGTTCTGACTCTTTTGTAGTTGGTGGTGGGAACCACGCCCATGTTAAAGACAGCCATTCAATACTTCTCCAACAGAATTTGAAACACCTATGTGGAATATCTGATGGTGGAATCAGCGTGATTCTATTGAGTATGGGTGAGAATGGTGACAAAGCCTGAAAGTTAGAAAAGTGAAAACACTTGGTTTGTTCACATGTTACGAGAAATGTGGATGACAAGTATAAATGTGAATGGATGGAGACTGTACAAACCTGAGATTACATTGAGATGGTTTACTTAGTAGCTGACTTTTGTCAGAATAAAGTTACTCGCATTGTACTAGAATTTCAAGGTAGGCAGTCTTAACGTAAAACCGGATGTGACTAGTGAATATACCAAAGTGTACTTCAGTCATTCGATATATAAACTGTAATTGCCCGCTTCTGCTTTACTCACTTACTTTCAGTAGTACTCTAAGAAGGAAATAGTGCGTATCGAAATGTTGACATAGACACACATATGAGATCCTTGCACAATGATTACTTCAGATTGAATATCATCTACGAAATCGATGAATTTCAGGTGAACATTTTTCACAATAAATGTATTCGGTAATCATTTCATGACTGCTTATGTGAGAATTTTGCAACCCATAACTGCTTTGTATGTTTCTGGATTGAATACTCGAATAATAACACTGTCACTTTGTCAGTTAGTGTATGGATTCATGTTATGCGAAATGAACAAATTCACGCAGAATAAACGGTTTCGATTCTCCCCGATAATCCAGAAAGGTGTGTTTGAATCTTGACTGAATAAATAGAGCTGGCTTAGACATCTGGATCACAGGTGCTCTAGGTGGTGTGTAGAGAATCCGTAAATCATCTGCTACAAATTGGAATATGGGAAGTACTGACGACCAAGGAGAATCAATTTTACTATGTGAATAGAGTCGTGTGGGTTTTCTCCTCTGAGTGATTATGCATTTGAGTGAAGTTACGAATGAATATATGGAGTAAGTCGTACCAGCAATTTTGTCTTATCTCGAATTTCATTTGATGTTTGATGTGGTGATATCTAGTTGATTTGATGCCCTACACATTTTAGTCTTTGGGATGAATAGCTGTACTGGCGATCATCAGGTACATCAATGATTTTCTGAATTGTTCAGTTTCGTGCGAAAATATCGACGATTTTCTAATCTGACTATGTGTGATGAATGCAAAGTTTGATTGATTTGTTTATTGAGTATGGGTAGCCATATTTCTATAGTGACGTGGTGCTACAGAGGTTCAGTAGATTTCAGTCTTCCCCTCAAAACGCTCTTATTTGGCCATGTGGTCATAGCCTCTTCAGGTAAGTTCTATTCACTAACTTAAGACGGCAGGAGTGTTCCTAACAAAAATGAAAGGAGGAATGCGGATGTCTGGAGCTTATAAGCTACTTGGTGGACATCCTGGTCTATCTAAAAGAGCTGGACAAGTCTGATTTCAAACTTATAGTTTACATGGACTGCAGAATCCGTATGAACCAATTGGCGTATGAACCTCATGTGGTCACTAGGATCTGTGGGAAGGTAGTTTTTTAAGCTATGCAACTGCTGTGTGGATGAGACCTTAAGTGAAAGGTTCAGAGAGTAGACCTCTAAGATAGCCACATGCTTCAAGCCGGGCAGTATCTTAGAATTAGCACAATATATGAGGTTTTGTGTGGCGAGTCTCTCGGTGCTCATAATGTATCCAGTTTGTGTTCTAGTAATAATACCACTTCTGCCCTGTGACGCGGTAGCAGGAAGCACGGTCGTTGTTAATCCGGGCCCAGACCGATCCGGCATGATATTTTGTGATTTTGTTTGAGTCATAGCATTGGATTGGGTAGCTGCTTTTTGTCTAACCGCTATCCAAACAACCTTTCTGGCATGGTAAGACCTCAAGCGACATAAGTCTCAGCCAGTATGGCTTGTTGAGTCATTGCGGTGTTCAAGCCCGACCACCACGTCAAGGTAGCAGCTTTCGGTCGGTCGAGTATTTTAAACATTGTCAGGGCGAGTTGCATGCAAATAGCCCAAAGCCTTCTTCAAACCTTGCACACAACCATTAGGTCGCGTACTATCCCATCGCCCTTGGCAGATCTCGCAACAAAAGTCATGAGATCACCATCAGAGAATATGACAGGTTATGTACCCCAAGGCACTCTACTCAAACTCACGTAGCCATGTAAGGGCTTATGGAGAATTGTCATCTGAATTGTTAACAACCAGTAGTGTCCGTCAGGGATGTCCACTTCCCCCATTTCTGTTTAACTTCATCATAGATATGCTAATGGAAGTTATCTTAACTGAACTTAACGACTTAGGAATCGACTTGTTACCAGGGAATAGCCTTATGGACTTAGAACATGCAGATGACATTGTCCTATTAGGGGAGGATGCTGACAAAATGCAGAGTCTTCGGAACACCTTGAGCAGCAATCTTCGTATGTTTGACATGCGATTCGCCCCTGTAAAATGTAAGATGCTGCTACAGGACTGGACTACGTCAACTCCTAGCTTAGTGATAGGGAGTGAAGTGATAGAACATGTTGACCACTTCACCTATTTGGGAAGTTGTATCAGCACCAACGGATTGATTGGTGACGAAATCTCAACACGGATCCAAAAAGCTCGGGCTGCTTTCGCTAACTTACACCGTCTCTGGCGTAGGCGTGACATCCGGCTATCAACCAAGGGACGTGTGTACTGCTCAGCAGTTCGCTCCGTCCTTCTCTATGGTGGTGAGACGTGGCCATTGAGAGCGGAAGACATGAAAAGGTTGACTGTTTTTGATCATAGATGTCTACGATCTCTTTCTCACGTTAGGTGGTATAATAAGGTAAGTAATGTTGACGTTAGGCGTAGAGTGTTGGGCAAAGAGGAAAAATCAATCGAAGAGGCTATAAAGTTACATAGATTGAGATGGCTAGGTCACGTGCTGTGCATGCCTAACCATCGTCTCCCCCGACGGGCATTACTAGCTGATATAGGTGCAGGTTGGAAAAGAGTAAGTGGTGGCCAAACAAAAACATGGCATCAATCCATGAAATCCTTGACAGTTAAACTGAGTCAGGTAGGGAGATGCAGATTTCCGGGTTGGGGCCCTCGGGACTCTAAGAATCAATGGCTGGAGACAATAGGTGACATGGCTCAAAATCGTTGTCAATGGCTTACGCAGATGTATTCAGTCTCTGTAATCTTTCATATTCCTTTCTACCATTACTCATTCTGTTTCACTCTTATACTTGTCAAAACTCTATTGATTCTCTTCACTCATTTTCTTGTCTACCTTTGTGTGCTATTTGGAACGTGGTAACTCGAACTGCTGCACTTCGGTGCCAAGTTCTATGTTGAATCCAGACAGACAGACTAGTAATAATATAATAAACGATGGCTTTATCAAATTTACTTATCAATCAACGGAGATTATTTAGAGGTTGAATGGAAAATATCTTATTAAAAAAATATAAATCCGTTGTTATATTACAATGAAATAAAATGTGAACGAAATAGTTGACACTAAAAAGAAGAGTCATGTTGCATTATACAAAGCCAGTAAACTCTAACAGCAAAATCAGAATTATTAAAAAAAATGTGAACTAATTCTTACTTACCAATGAATCGACAAGAATAAGATTATCACAATTTCTATACTTCGTCGACAATCGATTCAACTCCTCTCGTAGATGTGAACAAGTTCCTCTGCTGGTTGGCGTTGTGTCTCCTGTTACATCTCTTTCTTCAGTGTAATAAAATCGTCCAGGCGCAACGAAAGGAGCCCAACGTGTTTGAAAAAATATCCACCACCAAGGTTTCTTCATTGCTTTAAATAGTTTCATTGAGTGGTAAACATGATAACGACCACTTTGGAAAATCGGATCACTTGCAAGGTGTGCGAATATGTCATCCTCAAAATTTAGACGAAATTCTTCTTCCACTTCATTGACAGATGCTGTCTTCGAAGAAGAGGCAACACTTCCCTCTTCCTCCTTCAATGATGGACAGTCACCTTCAGCCTCACCTTCACCGTCACTATCATTCTCAACCTCAACCTCAACTTCACAATTATCACTGTCATTTTCATACACAGAACCACCATCCAGTATTGAATCACTCTTTGCTCGTCTGATTATGCGTGGATTAAACTGTGATGATTTTTGGATCAAATTTAATTTACCGTCTTCATTCAAGGGAAATGATGGAATCCAGCTTCGGTTGATAACTAATTTCTCAAACATTAAATCAGTATATGGATAAAATTCAATAGTAAAGTAACGTGAAATATTACATCCTTTGAATGTTTGTATTTCATTTTCAGTTACTGAGCTTATTTTTTCAATTGTAATTTCAATGTAGAATAACCACATGTCTTGATCGTATTCTGTGTACTCACTATTTGGTGATGATGAGCAATTAGATAAACTGGATTCCGAACGAGCGTAAACTTCTTTACAGTACTGTGAGGAATTGTGACTTGCTTGACGTTTTACGGGTGAGCAGGGTTCGCCTATCTCCTGAGACACATTTGAAGTGTTTATTTCCTGTTAATTTGAAACATGAAGAAAATGCTGATGTGATAAGGACGAAGACATTGAAAATGTTAATCTTAAAGACATTAGTTTCATTTTTGTAGGATCATTAGTCTTGAGTAATTTCTGACTGTGTGCGTCGGTGGCACAGTGGTTAGGACGCTCGCCGACCATGCACATGGTCCGGGGTTCGATCCCCGGCCGACGCACTCCTTTGCCTCGCTGAAACCAGAAATAAAGCTGGTAAAGAGGAAAGGTTGGGAATGAGGCTAGCAACCCCATCCTGTAAAAATAAACACTGCTACAGAAACTTCAAGCCTCCAGCTTGAAGCCCTATGTTCCACTTGGAATGTGAAGGAATAAAAAAATTTCTGACTAAAATCAATCTATCATTCCAGAAAAAATAAACTTCCTCTAGACCCCGCTTTGTACTGTTAAGTCTCAAAAATAGAGATACAGTATATTTACAGACTGAGTCCAGGTATTTCAATATTTCTAGCTAAGACTATAATTTGCCACCAATCATTCACATACAAAAAATATACTTGTTACGACAACTTATTGAGCACTATTGAAAAAGCGGCCAGTTCGACTACCCAACTACCAGAAATATGACTAAACTAATGTATGATATGATCCAAGTTAGAAGGGAATTCATCAATGAAAATGAAAAGAATCACTGGTTAAGTGATCAGGAAAACATTCAATTTTCAGTTCACACATACGTTAGGTTTCCATTATTAACTTCTTTAACGTTCTCAGACTAAAAGTAGGATGACTCCGAAGGTAACCTAATTAATCAAAACCACATATTCACTCATTTCAATAAAACTACGATACTCAAGTGTTGGTTTGTAGGGAGTTCAAAAGTGACTTACACTTTTTCAACTGTACACTAATACCTTGAACCTCTCTCTGCATTTTTATTCATTAATTAGACTTGCAAGAGTTAGGCTTGGCTTAACTTAGACCTAAAATAACCACTCTTACAAAACTTCTTCACCGCTTATGACCTTAATCGTACTCTGCCTAACGTGCAAGTACTAACGAACGGAATCAAGGTTAAAAGACTTGAGATGGCAAGTGTGACTGGAACAGAATTGTATTTACACAAAAGAGATATGGAATTTGATAAGAAATAAGAGGTTACACACTTATCTGCAGTCTTGACTGTGGTAGGCTCGGAGAGTGCGCTGGATGAAAGCACAACGAGAGAGCGAACCAAGAACGTACAAGAGTTTCACGAATCGAAAGAGGAAGTAGTGCTAAAGGTCAGGTGAGTCCGTTCAAACAAAAGTTCGAAGGTTCAATGTACACTACAGGTTATCCCCCCCTTAGAAGGTTGGTGGGAAACCAGCAAGCTTCGATATATAAAAGTAGCAAGGTTGTGTACAATAACAGTGAATGAACAAGAAAGTGTGAAGATAGTAATAAAATAGTTTTAAAAAAATATATTGTGAAAGGAAAGAATGAAGGGAAAAAAAATTAAGGCAATTTATGGGCACTATGTACATGATTAATGGCGTAAGACGGAATATAAGAAGAAATAACGCTGGTGCCTTGGTGCGATTTCAAGCTTCTGAGTTGTTTGGGTTTTTTTTACATCGTTTATTTATCTTTTTTAATATATCTGTTTATTTATTTGTTTTTTTTTAACGACGTACTATTACGGGATGAATTATGTGGAGGTCTGTTGGTTTACCTCCGTTTCCCAGGTTGTTATAGCGGGAAGGTGACTCATTATGTCTAAGTTTCATCGTAGACTAATGCTTCATCCTTCCTCATCAACCAAAACTAGTAGTAATACAAAAGGCAATCAGTATACCAGCGTATTAGGAGGAACAAAGTAAAAGCAACAGAAAAGAATAGAAGAAGAGGTTAAGATTTCAAAATCAGCATAAGTTGTTACCAAAAACTTAAGCGGAATAAATGCGAGGGAGCTAGTGTAACATTGAAGTCATAAAGTGAAAAAAACATCATTAACTGGACTAAAATTGGAAAATATTTCATCATTCTTAATCATATAAAATGTAGCTTCATATCTCTGCAACTTTGTTTCTATAGTTCTTATCCTCTTCACTGGTTTATCATGGTAGTCGAATCTTCGAGATATCCGGATCTTTGTTCAACAATTCTTACCGCATGCAACGCACGCATTGATACGGAATAACGTACTATCATTGTGTCAAAAGGTTTACACATGTATGTCTAAGGTTACTTCTCCGTTGCGAAGCAGTATTTTCTGAGCTGTGTAATTAGTTAACTATGCCTGAAAGTCTTCAGTGTTTTATCACTTGCGAAAAATAGTTTAGTTGAGTTTAACTGATAATTATGCGAAACCAGCTAAAACATAACTGAAATACTTGTCAGAAAACTGAAGGACAGTAAATTTTGACATTCTATTGATGAAATGTTATTTAATGCAAATAGTTTTTTCTGCACGATGAATAACTAAATATGAATAAAACCACTGCAGTCTTCTTTGTGTGACCTTTAATCCTATCACTGTTAATAATGAAGTGGAATAAAGACGAGTAGGCGGAAAGGTGGTGGTGGTGAGAGAGAAGGTTGTGTTCACTACTGATTAGCAATAAGTAGTTCTCAGATTCTATTCCTTGATTCTCAAACTATTGTAATTCAATATTGCAGACTTCAAAGTTGTATTAAAATAGTCGATGCTATGAGAATACTTAATGTGATCTACGTTGAGAAGCATTCCACAACGGTTTTCATCAAAATCCTAACCGAATGACATTGAAGTGGTATAAAGTAAACAGTCAGCTCACCTTAACGGCTTTGCTACTTAAAGGATTTTCAACATTGAAGAAGCAGAATTTCTGATTGAAAGTCTATGTCCAATTACTGATGTACAAGGCGATGTCAAGTTGAATGAATGACAGTATGACTAACTGTTCATCATTTTGTTATCTGTGAAAACCTTGAAAGACTACCACAACTTAAAACATGCCACTATGAAATTTATACTCACTATGGGTCATCAGAAATAAAATCTTGAACAAAGCAAGAACAACAATTGTACTAGGATAATATGAGCTCATCTTTTATTATTTCGAGGATTCTTCTCAACTGGTTACAACCTGAACGATGAAAAATATGAATTACATTGCATTAAAGATCTGAACATAATTTTCCACGATCACAAGGAGTAATTGGTAGGAAGTAAAAGTAACATTAGTCCGGAATGATTTAACTAATTAAGAGTTACAAACACTGACTATTTATAGAATAATTCAAATGAACTGTGATCAATACTTGACAGTTTATAAATATTTATAGAATAATTAGGCAATTAGGCTTGGAAACAAAAACAAGCTGTTGTATATTTTTGTGTTGTCACCAGGGCAGTGCAAGATTCACCACTGTCTCTTTCTGCGTACATAGATTTGGTTAAAGTCGTCTGATAGCAATTGCTTCTATACCAGGTATGTCGACGACACTTTCGTTATTTGTAATTCTTTTGATGATGCATCTCAAGTACTAAAAGTCTTGAACAGCGCCCATCCTAATATTAAGTTTACAATGGAGCATGAAAAAGAGGAGAAGTTCCATTTTCTTGACCTGGGTATCCAACGAGATATAGACGGCAAAATCATAAGATATATACACAGAAAAGATACCTGGAGGGCGGTTTATCTTAACTTCAAAAGTTTCTGCCCTATAAGTTACAAAAAAGGATTGGTGAGAACATTATTTGATCGTGTAAGGAAGCTGTGTTCAGAAGAAAAGATTGAGGAAGGGCTATCCATCGTGGAGAAATGCCTACGCGACAACGGTTACCCACAAAAGTTCATTGACAAGTATGGGAGACGTCATATTGAAAAAGTGAAAAGCAGCACAGTAGAGAAAAAGCCTATCTTTCTACAGCTTGCATTCAAAGGTGATGATACTGCCAGTAGAATAAGATGCAGACTGAAAGCTGCCCTGAAAAGAACATATCCAGCCGCCAAGCTCGTATGTGTTTATCAAACAACTAGTTGTTTGAGACAATCAAAAGTGGACAAATACCCACCTCATGTTACCTCCAACTGTGTCTACCAATTTACATGTACGTGCCAAAGCACATACATCGGAAGAAAAGAGAGAAGGGTTATTGTCCGCATTTCTGAACACATACCAAAGAACGTGAGACTGGAAGGTCCACAAGTATTAAACAGTGCAATTGCGCGTCATCCTTTTTTTGTTTCCAAGCCTAATTGCCTAATTATTCTATAAATATTTATAAACTGTCAAGTATTGATCACAGTTCATTTGAATTATTCTATAAATAGTCAGTGTTTGTAACTCTTAATTAGTTAAATCATTCCGGACTAATGTTACTTTTACTTCCTACCAATTACTCCTTGTGATCGTGGAAAATTATGTTCAGATCTTTAATGCAATGTAATTCATATTTTTCATCGTTCAGGTTGTAACCAGTTGAGAAGAATCCTCGAAATAATAAAAGATGAGCTCATATTATCCTAGTACAATTGTTGTTCTTGCTTTGTTCAAGTTTATTAATGGGTAGAATTGCATGAAATTTTTGAAGAAATAAAATCGTTTGGAATTACTGATTGATTCTATTATTTGATCAAGTGAAAAAAACTGCTTGTTCTATGAGTACTTCCCGCCTAGTTCTACTGGAAAATCAGAATAATGAATAATGAACTATCGTTTTTGATTCCATATTAAATAAATTGAGGTTATATAAGACATAGTAAATCAGTATTATTAACATGAGACCGTTTCAAGGATAACATATTTCTCATGGTCACTTCATGGCGTTGCTGTTACAAACAATAACAATGATGCAACACTAAACCGGAATATATCGAAGGGAAGTAGAAGGGTTTAGGACTGATTGAGGCAAGTTACGAAGTCATGTGAATGATCTGATATAATTATAAGCAATAAATTGTTATCGAAATATCACCCCACCAGAAATTCTCTTCTTTAGATGATTATGTGCAGTGATCTAAATGGCTTAACTGAGAAATTTCAATTGTACACCT